AGGGTTAGGTTAGGTTAGGTTTGAGGTTTTGGAGTGTAGGCGCGGGGCACTATGTACCTTTGGTTTGTGGGGACATTCTCAGGTACGCGGGATCTCACGTTCCCCCCCCCTCATATGTGGATGATCCAAAGTGCGCACATTCTGCTCAGAATTCCCAAGACCCAAACCCAGTAGAAGGCCTTTTCCTTTCCAGTATGGCTTTGAAAGCCCCAGTATAAACTTTTCGACACATATCGATAGTTTCTTCTGAAAGTCATCAGAAACCGCGTGGTCGGAAGCCACCCTCCACCCGAAACCCTAAAACCGTTTGAAGGGCTGGTACCACAGGGGCCCAACATGATTTTGCATCCCATTTGAGGTACTTTATACCAGAATTGTACAAAGTACCTAGCTTTAGCGTGTAGTGGAACTCCAGGTACCCAAATAGTAGGTTGTTGGGTTATAGATAGCATAAGTTTAGATAGGGACTCAAGGACAGGAACCCAGTATATATGTAACTGGGCTTCTAGAGCTTCATCCTAAATGAAGAGCCATACCTAGACCCCGATGTATCCTCAATAGAGCCCAAATAGCCCAACAAGACCTACACAGATCGGGGTCCTAGTAATCCATAAGTCGTTAATTCAACCCTACCTACGATACCCTAAACCCTAGACCCTGAATCCTAAACCACCAATTCAGAGCCCTCAGTTTAGACCCGAAATCCTAAACCCGAAGCGCTAGATCCCAGACTCAACCCTTTGTTGAAGGGTTCCCTCTCTGCTAGGTAACGCATTAGTTCCCTTTTTCCCTGATTATTTTTGGGGTCTCTTTATTAGAGCTGAACATTTGGAAAAAGGATACCCCCATTCTTTCGGTGTTCATGGGGAACCTAGCCTATAATCCCCGCATATCCCCATACAAAGACGATATGTCCCTGATATAACCCCGATATTCCCCATATATTCCCCCTAAACCCTAAATCCTGTATACAGATGTTCCGAGGCACTGGGTATGTGGAGTCAGCGCAGCAACACCTCGAGAGGGCACGGGCGCCCGGCAACTTTGGTGTCCCAGGGTGTAGGGTTTAGAGTGCGAATGCCCTTCTTAGGCTTTGGGGTTTAGGCCTTAGGGTTCAAAGGGTTTAGGGTTTTAGGATTGTTGGGGCGTGGGTTTTAGGTTTCAAAGGGTAGTTAAGAGCTTAGATTCGGGGTGGTACGGCGGATGCTCAAAACCCTGGACTGCAAGGCCATAATTCAACTTGCCTTTGAGACCTATAAGTAGTAGATACTTACTTTGGGCCCCATACGGCCCCTAAACATAATGCGTAGTCTGCATAAATTGATATCACCTGCTTTGGCTTGTTTGGATCTCTAGGGCTGACCTGAAAAGCTTTCTGAACATTAGTATCGTTTGCTTTTGGGGGAAATATGTGGTGTTCCAGTAGAGTAAAGGAAGGCGAATCAGCTGTTTGGGGACAGGATTTCGGGATGCAATGGAAAGCAGGGTATAGAGTTTACTGGGTTGCTGTTGAGGAACTTAATTTAAGTTGCTATACTGGGGAAACCCTACATTTTACTATTATATACCCATTGTCGGAACTTAAATAAAGTTCCTTAACAGCAACCCAGTTTAGTTCTAGTGGGGGTGGCTGGTTTGAAGGTGCTTCTGGGGTAAACTGGGTCAAGTCGAAAGGGTCAGGATGTATAGTCCCCCTGAAGTAAATAATTGGAGTATATGGGGATCTTACTGTAATATACCAGACGTCATATTCTATCTACTTAAAGGGGACTATAAGTTTTCTTATCGGCGAGCGTATTAAACTGGGTTGTCCAAGTGGGGAGACCATCAATAAACACCAGTTATTTCCTACTGTAACATTCATCGCTGACGCCCGATCAGATGTCTCACCTTGCCAATGATCATGACTTCTGTCCTCCCACCGTAAAGCCGAAACCCTAAACCCTAAACCCCATGGGGCACATGCTGGCTCTAGGTTGTTCTGTGCACGCCTAAAGTACACGAGTCGCGCTTCAGGGGTTTCGGGATTAGGGCCTCGGGTTTAGGGCCTAGGGTTTTGGTTCAGGATATCTTCGGGATCCCAAAAGTGTAGAGTGGTTTGTTTTCACAGACTTAGGTTACAGCCCAGAGTAAGAAGTACTTGTAGACGTAAAGCCCCAGGCAGGGTATGTCACATCCAATCCATTTGCGGACGCAAGCTTCAGATACGCTCTGTTTCGGCCTATGGCATCAAAGCCGTCGGATTTAGGGCTTAGAATTTATGATACGTGGCTAAGGGTTTAGTGGTCTTGGATGTAGGGTTGAGAGTTCACGACCAGAGCTCTCACGCCACGACCAGGAGATTACCTAATGTGGGGTTCTCCATACTCAAGGTCATGTTTTTTCGCCTCTTTAGTGGGGACCGCATTTTGCGAACACCTCTATTCAATTCTGTCTTGGGCAATTCCCGCTCAGAGTGCCAGTCTTTCAAAAAGCCTTTATGGAGGGGGCTATTCACACTTCCCTCATCTTTTTCGAAACCCTTAAGCCCTAAACAATGCCAAACCTCAAACTCTAAACCCTACACGGTGGGATGATCCAATCTCTGCCCCGTTTGTACTGACCATTTGCAAGTGGCTGCAGCTGCTCAAACTCGTTGAAGTACGGTTTCCCATCTACAACTGGGAATTTGCCCACCCTGCTAGGGCAGATGCGAAAAGCTTTTAATTCTCCCTGCCGCCGTCTTTTGGGCCTATACCTTGAAGGGCAACTGCGTAACAAGCTGTCGAAACGGACGTTGGGCTACATCACTGCCAGTCGCTATAGCCACGTGAGAGCCTCCAGGCTCTCCGGAGCTTGTGGAACGGGCTTCAGATACCTGCTTCTTGGATATTAACACGGTTTAGGGTGTAGTGTACGGTTTAGGGCAGATAGTACCCCCCAAAATGGAGAATCAGATGGAAAAGAGAGTGGAAAATGAAGATGGAATCTGGGGATTGGCAGCAACATCTACGAACAAGACTATGTGGAACAGAGTTAAGGTACTTGCTTCGGGTTCGATGTAGAAGCCGAAATGACGCCCAACCAATGGTAAACCAACTGGAAAAGAACAAGGAACATGAATTGGATTCTGGGAATATACGGATATACTGGTGTTCATAGCCGCTTTATGGGCAATATGAAGTCAGGAACTTGGAATGCATCGTGAAGCTCTGCCTCTTGGGATTTTTCTCTAGCTGAAGATCTTTTTAGCAGCTTCAAAATGCTTGGGGTTAAGGGTTGGGGCTGACGGTTAAAGTGTTATGATGAGGGATCCGTAGTTTGGTAACTTAACTACGCAATTGCCATGCATCTCTGCATAGCCCTAGAATTCCAGTGACCATTTCATGTTCCATATTCTTTTCGGTTGGATTCTCCCATATACTGGCTCAACCCTAAACACGCCCCAAACAAAACTAAACCCTAACCCGCAAACCCGAAGCCCCTCCAAACTCTAAACCCCAAACCCTAAACTCTGAACCCTAACCCCTAAACCCAGCCCAGGCTTTTGAGCGCCGAGGATGCTAGTGGTTTGCACTCGCCCACCTACTTCACCAATGCGGTGACTTACCTCTGAATAGCAAGGAAAGAAACTGCAGTCCTTATAGCTTGGGTACTGCCGCCACCCAGAAACAGTCTATATTAGGGGTCCTATTAAGGGCTATATATAACAATATTTTATTTATTATCCCTCTGTTACTGAGTGGGGGCAGTACCAAACTTATAGCATAGGGTTTAGGGTTTCTGGTTCGGGTGTTTAGGGTTTGGGGCTTAGAATTTTGGGTTTCTGGTGTGGGGTTTAAGGTTGAGGGTTCAGGCTGTAGGCTTTAGGTTTTAGGGCTTACCCAGGTCCTCCTACGTTGTTCCTTTTTGGGGCAATATATTATAATCCCCTACCAAAAAACAATAAACGACCCAAAAAGGAACTACATTGGAGCCCTTGGGTAGGTCTTGGAACCCAAAACCTGTACTATAATTACTATTACCCACAATCCAAGTATTTAATTATCGGATACATGGACCCTAAACCCTATATATCCCTATTTACTCCCCGTATTTCCCTATAGATCCCCTTCAAAGGGTACCTAATTATTGGGTACATGGACCCCTAAACGCTAAACCCTCAGCCCTAAACCCAAAAACCAAAAGCC